TTGTAAAGTGGTATTAACACTTCACGTGATCTTGATTCTATCCCTCTGTTAATGCAGCCCAGCACTGTGTTGGCTTTTTTGGCTGCTGCCAGAACCTTCCTGATCAGGAGACTCTCGGTGGGGCTTTGTTGCGGCCTCCCCTTCCATTGCTTTCCTGTCTTTGCAGGACCGACAGTGAGCGGGTGGTGCTGGAACAGCTGCACACCGTCCCTTTTGTCCTCGCTTCCCCCACAGACAAAGCAGCCGGATGGGTGAGTGTGGAATTGCCCCTCCAGGCGGTTGACCTGCCCCTGGAGACCGTCTACGAACGCTTCCAGCAGACCTCCCATGGCTTCAAAGACCTCCTCAGCCACTACCTGAGCGGGGAGAAGCCCAAGGGCTTCTTGGAGACGGAAGAGATGCTTCTGGTGGGCAGCAGCCTGACCGGCATCGGTGAGCTGACCCAGCGCTTGGATGGGACCCTCTGCCTGCAGCCCCCTTCGAATGGAGCGGGCTATTTCCTCTGCCTGGAGGATTGGCAGACCCTGCTGTCTGGTTTGCAGTCGACCAGCAGCTTCTGGAAATGGACAGGTGTGCTGTGCGGCCTGGTGGCCGCGGTGGTGGTCCTGCGGGCCCTTCGCCGAGCGCACCGGAACCGCCAGCTGAATCGGGAGCGGGAGGCGCAGCAGCGGGAATTTGAAGACTACCTGCAGAATCACAACCAGGACGAAGACCTGCCCGCAAACGCCTGCGTGGTTTGCCTGACCAATCCACGCCAGTGTGTGGTGCTGCCTTGTGGCCACATCTGCTTGTGCTTCCAGTGTTTCCAGGCCTTGCCCAACCCTTCCTGCCCCATCTGCCGGGGCCTCATAGACCGTGTGGTTCCCCTCTATCAGGCCTAGGGGAGTGGCCTCCGACGCAGTCAGCTGCCCCTCGCTGGTTATACTAGAGCAGTGTCTCAGTTGTGGCCACTTGAAGATGAGTGGACTGCAACTCCCAGAATTCCCCAGCCGGCCATGCTCGCTGGGGAATTCTGGGAGTTGAAGTTGACCCGCCTTAAAAGTGGCCAAGGTTGAGACACACTGTTAGAAACAAGCATCCCAGTTGTGGGTTGAAGGACATCCGATCTCCCTGAGGCTTGTGGGTCTCTCTGGGCACAGCCCCCAAGTTCTTACTCTTGGGAAGCATGTCCATAGTTGATGTCTCAGCAAAGGCTGCCTTGATCACCCTTCCAGCTTCGCTGTGCTGGAAGAGATATTCAAGCAGGGGTCTTCAAACTTGGCCCTTTTATGACTTGTGGACTTCAACTCCCAGAATTCGCGTGCCTGGCTGAGGAATTCTGGGAGTTAAAGTCCACAAGTCATAAAAGGGCCAAGTTTGAAGACCCCTGTATTAAAGAGTCCTCCTGATTGCTCTCCTGTGGTATTGAGACCACAATCCAAACACATTTGGAGAGCACGGGTTTGGGAAAGGCTGAATTCATCTATTGTTCAAGTTCCTAAGCCTACCTTGCTGGTTTGCAAACTTAAAGCAATAATCACTATACAAATAGAGCATCCTATCTAAATGGTAGTAGCTGAGTTGTTTTTTTTTTAATTTTTGTTAGAACTCAGTTATTGTCTACAAACCACACTGGGCAGCCTTTGCTTCAGGATTTGAACAGGGCACAGGGGCACAGGACATTAAATAACCAAGCCAATTTTGGGTTTCCATTGACAATGTTGGCCGCATTTACAATTTCTTTTTAGACATTGTCGGCTTCTGGAGCCTTTCAAATCACCTGCTTCTGGGTGGCCCTGAAGCTAAGAGGTTCTAGCTATGAGTTTAGACTTCAAATCGGCACGAAGCTGGCTGTGTTGGATTGCCTACCTTAATTTAGAATACTGTTTCTCAACCTCAGCAACTTTAAGGGGAATTCTGGGAGCTGAGGTCCACAGATCTTCAAGTTGCCATTTTAAATCCACACATCTGAAACACTGTGAAGTCCACACATCTGAAACTGGCATACAAATAGGCCCAGGAGTCAAGATGGGGAATCAATAAATCAAACGCCTTGGTGCGGAGACATTTTTAGCCGATACCAGCTAATAACTGTCCGGAGGACTAAGCCCTCAACTTTGCCGAGAACGGTTCCTTTCAAGTCGGACCCGTATCGAATGGCAGATGGTGTCTAATCATACAAGACTATGATTGATGTTAATGGCTGGTTCTGCGCTCATTTTGGAATGGCTTGAGATCTCGCCTCTTGACATACGGATTTTGGAGGTAGAAGGCCGATCCCAGAGGGGGTGACCGCCAAGAAAGCGATCCAGCGTATTCGGCTGACGGCTTCCTTGACAAGCAGGCTGCTGGCCAACCCTAATTTCCTTATCGTCAAGTTTGGGATGAGCTGCGGACGCCGTCATTCGTGGTTTGCCCAGTCAAGTGACTCTATGCACTGCCTTTCTACGACGAACCGAGCGTTGGGATGGTGTTTAGCAGTCCTGCAAGCCGGGGATATGAAATCAGGAATTATTGATAAATCGGCAAATCCATCAAGGCTTGTCTTGTCTCTTTTAATTTAAAGACCAGTAGAGCGGAGTTTGAATAGGGGAGGAAAGATGAAGAGGAAATCCTGAAGAGCTGCTGCTTATTTGTATGGGTGTGTTTTTAGAACAGGCCTATTATTCAATTCGATTTTAAAACAGAAACTATTTATTTATTCGTGGTTTTTAGTATCGCCTGTTCACCGCCCTGAGTCCCGCAAGGGAGATAGGGCGGTATATAAATTTAATAAATATAAATATAAATATATATATATATATTTGGGGGGGGGACGTTAAAAATAAGTCACGTGAGGGTTGGAGAAGAAAAGAGCGAGGTTGGTTCTTCCAGATGTGCCCAGAGGTGTTTGCAGCTTTAGAATGGACTTCTGCTCTGTTGAAAGTTCAAGATTCAAAGCAGGTGGGAATTGCTATGGAAAAGCAAAGGGTAAGGCGAGGAGACTGTCATGAGGACATCATGATTTTAACCAATTTAGTGTAGTAGTTAAGGCACCAGGCTAGAAACCTAGAGACTGTGGGTTGTTCCATCCTGCCTTAGGTAGAAAGCCACCCTGTGACCTTTAGCCAATCACCAGGAGACTGTGAGTTCTAGTCTCGCCTCAGGCACAAAGCCAACTGGGTGACTCAGCCAATCATCAGGAGACTCTGAGTTCTAGTCCCGGCCTTAGGCATGAAAGCCACCTGGGTGACTTTGGACCAATCACCGGCAGACTTAAGAGTTCTGGTCCTGCCTTATGCACAAAGCCAACTGGATGACCTTGGGCCAATCATGAGGAAACGAGTTCTAGTCCCGCCTCGGGGACAAAGCCAACTGGGTGACTGGGCCGGTCGCCAGGAGGCTGTGTGTTCTAGTCCTGCCTTAGGCATTAAAGCTGGCTGAGTGACATTGGGCTAATCATGAGGAGGCTGTGAGTTCTAGTCCCGCCTTAGGCATGAAAGCCGGCTGGGTGACGTTGGGCCAATCACCAGGAAACTGTGAGTTCTAGTCCTGCCTTAGGCATGAAAGCCAGCAGGGTGACTTTGGGCCAATCACCAGGAGACTGTGAGATCTAGTCTCACCTCAGGCACAAAGCCAACTGGGTGACTCAGCCAATCATCAGGAGACTCTTGAGTTCTAGTCCCAGCCTTAGGCATGAAAGCCACCTGGGTGACTTTGGACCAATCACCAGCAGACTTTGGTCCTGCCTTATGCACAAAGCCAACTGGATGACCTTGGGCCAGTCATGAGGAAACGAGTTCTAGTCCCGCCTCGGGGACAAAGCCAACTGGGTGACTGGGCCGGTCGCCAGGAGGCTGTGTGTTCTAGTCCTGCCTTAGGCATTAAAGCTGGCTGAGTGACATTGGGCTAACCGTGAGGAGGCTCTGAGTTCTAGTCCCGCCTTAGGCACAAAGCCAACTAGCTGACCTTCAGTCAGTCATTTTCTCTTGGCCCTAGGAAAGAGGCAGTGGTAGACCTCTTCTGAAAAAAAAAAAAACTTCCCAAGAAAATTGCAAGGATTTATCCAGGTAGTTGCCAGGAGTCAATACTGGGTTGAAGTCAAAAAGTGGAAGAAGAGACAGAGGAGACTTCAGCTTTCCCCAGTGTTAATGCTTCCAGGTGTTTGTATAACAGAATTAAATAAAACTGAATAAACTAGCGGCCCTGGGGCCTGTCCCCCTCCATCACCACCCGTGATGGTGTATAAAAGGAGCACAAGGAAGCAGATAAAATTATCACCCTGGTCTACATCAGGCCTGAATAACTGGTAAAGGGTAAAAAAAAACCCAGATTTATACATTAAAAATTATGGCAGGCCACCGAGGAGTACCTGGCCTGTGAACCAGCTATTTGGCAGCGAACCGAGTAGCAACAGGTGGTGTGGTGGTAAAGCTAGTGTTACACAACAGCATGGGGGTTTTTTCAGCGGGGAGGGGGCTGTTGGCAGCTGCAAATTTATTTTTTCAAAAAAGGGCCAGCAGGCCGCACAAAGCTGCTTTGGCAAGCCACACACTCATTCTGCAAACTCTGTTGTGCAGGCCTGCTCCTTATGCTTAAATCACTGCACAAATCACAGTTGGCTAAGCTAAAGCTACTTCTCCTGTTATGGAAACTTTTGAGCACTGAGCAGGTCAGGTTAGATTTGTAAAATCTTTGGGTAAAGGTGGTCCTCGGGGTCAAAGCACAACTGAACCCAATATTTTTTGTTGCGAAGCGAGAGCGACGACGTGAGTTTTGCCCCTGTTTTACGACTTTTCTTGTCACAGTTGTTAAGTGAATCACCACGTCGTGGTTCCGACAGATGAAACTCTTCAAAAGAACTTTGAGGCATTGTTTACCTTAAAGAATCTTTTATTCGAGAAACAAAGTATCGGCACTACATAGTTGAAGCCAAAAACTGAATTCCCCTCCCCTGGGCACAAAGTAGCAAAGCACAATTCCCTCCTCCAATTAACAGTCATAAATCACATTCCCCAATTAGCTTGAAATGATTCCTTCCTCCAATAAACAGTCATAAATCACATTCCCCAATTAGCTTGAAGCGCAGGCTTTCTCCCCAGCTCTCCAGTCAGGCCAAAACTCTATCTACTCTGGGCCCAATGACCTTGGGTTCCCACGGCTGAGTTATTATTGTTATGACTAGCTGGATTCTCATCCACATTCCCCCTCCCAGCATCAACTAACTCTAAAAGCAATAGAGAAAAATGGCTGCATTTCCATCTGTTGTCAAAGCAAGAACGTCCAATGTTAGCAGCGTTGACATACCACAGGTATTAAGCTAAGATATTTAAGCAAGTAGCCGCAGTAAGTAACCGATATTAAGTAAGTAACACGGTCGTAAAGGGAATCTGGTTTCCCCCTTGACTTTGCTTGTCAGAAAGGTCACAAAATACGATCACATGACCCTGGGACCCTGCGACCGTCATAAATATGAGTCAGTTGCCAAATGTCTGGGTTTTGATCCCCTGACCATGAGGATGCTGCTGCCATGGTCCTAAATAATGAAAAACAATTACGTCCCTTTTTTTTCAGTGCCGGTGTAACGTCAAACAGTCACTAAACGAATGGACTACCTGTAGTTGAGAGACAATATGGATTTTTTACTCAGCAAGTAAAGCCCTTGTCCATTAACAACTCAAAACACTGAACCGACTCTGGTCATGTCTCAATCATATCTCCTATAAACTTCCAAGGGCAATACAGGTAGTCCTCAACTTACGACCACACAATTGAGCCCCAAATTTATGTTGTTAAGTGAGTAATGTTTTAAGTGAGCTTGGCCCCTTTTTGTGACCTTTCTCGCCACAGCTGTTAAGTGAATCAGTGCAGTTGTTAAATAAGTCACACGGTTGTTAAGTGAATCTGGCTTCCCCATGGACTTGGCTTGTCCGA